TATTTGTTTTAAATGGGGACTTGAGTGTTTGTGGAGGAAGGATTCGAACTTAACCTAATTGTGTTTAACTGAAAATCTATATATTTTGAAAAAATTATGCGGGCGGGCTTTGAACCCATACTGTACACTAACCAATTGAGTTGTCGTCGCGATGGCGATTCTAATCCCGCTCGTGTAGTGTTTAATAAATATTTAGTTTTATAATACCATCTCTTGTAAAATATTAAAGTTTTTACATCGCGTTAAATAATTGTAAATTGTGATACCGTTTGCCAACTCGCGCTTAGCCATGCCTCAAAAGGCCTATTATAGAACAACGAGCAATTTTGACAGTGATTATGTCACGATAGAACAAAAAATTTGACAATCGCGTGATTTCAAAATTGGAATAGCTAACTACTGTCTTCTGCTCGGTTAGCGAGAAATTAAATTGATTTTTCTTCAGCTAAAAGGCTTTATTTAGTGTTTATTAATCAATACTGAGAATTGCTAATTAAAAATACACATTGTCAGTGTGTGCTTTTAAAATACGTAATTATTAATGGATAGTTAGTAATGCAGTAGGTAAAAAATTAAAAACACAAGGTTCTCAGTTTTATCTGTAGTGTCTATTTTTGAAGAAGGAAGAAATTTCTGGAATCGCCTAAACTTATAAAGCTTTTGAGATATCGTTTAGACATTCAAATGTTTGCTTCCTTTTATATGTTAATATAACGCAATAGTAGTTTACCACGTCTGCTTCAAAGAATCCGAAATGTTAGCCGTAGTTAAAATGTACCCATTGTCAACATGTTAACTATAAAATCTGGCGTATTAAACCGTTAAAAGTGTTGTATTCAAATTTGTTTTACTCGCATAAACTACAGACAATACCTTAGGTACTTACAGATCTAACTAGATAGATGAGCAATTTAGCAATACCAATAACTTTGTCGCGCTGAGGATTAGAAGTAAGGTGTGCAAAAAAGCTTTACGCAGTAAAATAAAAACTAGTGTCCAACCTTGTTAAGAGATTATTTATTTTAGTAATAAGATTAGAATAAAAAAAATGGTACGTTGAAATTATTAAATATAAAAATATATGGTATACCTAAGGCCTTAAACGATGATCAATCTATAAAAATGTGTAAAAACCATAGACAAAAACGTTTCGAATTAAATTACATTATCGAGAACTTATGGAATTGATAAATCGAAAATCTTAAAATAATTAAAACGACACTTTGATAAGTTGTGCTCATTAATTATTATAATAATTTGGTAACATACAGTGTGCAAAAAAAAAAACAAAAATTCAACTAAATTTTAAATTACATAATCGTTATTACTAACATGGTTGCATTTTGGTTGATATTATGTTTTTTATAATTAATTTAATCTATTCTAATATATAAAGATGAAGAGTTTGTTTGTATGTTTGAACGCGCTAATCTCAGGAATCACTGAGGGGAGTCGAAAAGTTATTTTTGTGTCGGTTAGAGCATTTATAGAGGAAGGTTATAGACGTGGGTAACAGCTTATATTTTTAAAGACGAAGAGGAGGACGAACCTGCCTTTTTAGAGAAATTCCTGCTCAGTGCCAGGATTTTTAGCTTAGATTATAAATTATGATACAACTATAGAATATATTAGATTTGTTCCATAAATTATTATTGTTTTATTTATTTAATATACATTAACAGATCAGAACTTACATCGCTTATACATTACTTTGTACAAGTATTCTTATGTTAGATTGATTAGATAGAGTTGTAATTACTAACAATTAGTGATAATGTTAACTGAAGGTTTAAGTCATGGTTTTTTAAATACGTAAAATAACTTAAAATTTGTACTCTTCTAGGTAAGAAAGTTCTGCTTCTTCATAATCGCCGTGCCTTCTTAATCACACCAATATACACCTGAACATAAATCATCGTAAAAACGATGGATATTTCTATTATAGTGACGGTAAAAAATGGATTGTTGCCAGTCAAAGAACGGGGTGGTCATGCGTCATCCACAAAACATTTAACAACCTAATTTCGTGGGTAACACCTCAGCACTAGAGCCGACAAAAGGCTCGATAAAATCTGGGCATCGACATCGGCGTTCTGTGGTGCGCGCGCGCAGCGGGCGGCCGGAATACGAAACTAATAACTTACATTTGGATTACGCTCGTTAGACTCTTCGCACCTTGCCGGGATATACTTTTATTAATATTAAATTTATTCAAACCTTCGGGTTTTATAATAAATTATCGCTAGGATAAACGACGAACGAATGTGGAGGTGTTTTTTTAATTTTTCAAAGTCAACGATGACCGCTCTTCGTGACCCCTGGCGTTGTCTCTATTTATTTAATATAATTAGAGAGAGACAAATGACACAACGTCTATATTGTCGTGGACGTATAGATAAATCATATTTTTAACATTTGTAAATATTAAATCTTTTTAGACCGACTCAGTTAAATTTATATCTCTTTCGAGATCTGTCAACAAGAGTAATTAAAGACGTGGCCAACATTTTAAGTTGAAAGAATCAACGTATACTTAAATCGTGTCAAATTGTACTTATATCTATTATTAAGTGTGTTTAATGTTAAGCTTGAATCTAGTAATTATACCTAATTAGTACATTTTAAACACTAAATAGATCCAAATACTAAAATACACTTTATCATAAACGTAGTTTGACATTAGGTACTTATTTATAAATTTTCACACTTCTTTATATTTAAAAAAGGTAACTGAAGTTTAAGCTTAATAAAGGTTTGAGTCCAAGTTTAAAATAATAAATCTTCAGTACGTAAAATATCTCAGCGCAACTGAATTAAAGAGGATTTTTTTAATTGAATTAAGTTTATATTAAGATAGTTTCCGACGGACGCGCGTTCAAGGTTCGGAGATTATTTTAACGAACACTAAAGATATATTACGATAATTTATTACTCTTTTTACTATAATTTAATTTAGGAGGAACTTAAATAACACTTTAACGGTTTAAAACTCGAAATATTAGTCAAACTTATTTGAAATATATTTTTAACTTCGGCCCGACGTTTCGAATGCTTTGCAACAACCGTGGTCACGGGGTGACTGGTTTTAAACCGTTAAAGTGTTTTATTTAAATGTATACTACTCGCGTAAACTATAGACAGTAAGGAACCTAATTACTTATATTTATAACACACAATAACTTAGCAGACTGACAGCGTGCGTTACGGTGTTACAGATAAAAAATTCTTTGTATCTTTGAATTTTTGTAATCAAATTTTTCGACTTTTGAATAAAAAAAAAAGTCATATTATATTTTTAATGATATTATTAAATTACTTATTTGAAATACGAATAAAATACACCGTCTTAAAATATAAAATGCTTACAAATGTTTGTGACAATGCTAAGATAACGTCTTTATATTAGAACAATTATATTTAAAACAAGTTAAGTAATTTACAAAATGTATCCTACTATTCCACGAGCTCGTTGACCTAATGGTAGAAATATATGGTTAATAATCGACCGGTCGCGGGTTCGACCACAACCGGGTGCAACATGATTCTCATCAATATCCGTATGATTTTGGAAACATGGTGGAGTTCGTCTGAAAATCTGAATGTTAAATGGTGGGAATATAAACATTCTGGGTCACGATGTCCACAAAAAACTTGGGTTTTTCATTTGTGGACAACCAAACACACTTCGGTTTCAATCTGTGGTGATTCGAATATCCAACGCCAAAATATTTTGGACGGGTATTTCATGTATCATCAAGAACATCACGCTTATTTGTCCTCCTCTATTGTTAAAAAAATTTACCTATAACGCTATTTACGTGTATCTACTAAACAATAATATAAATAAAACATTTTAACTGTTTAAAACGTGGCTGTGGTCACGGGGAGACACGTTAACGGGGACCACGGCTGCTGCAAACCATCCGAAACGTCGGGCCAAAGTTGAAAATCATTTTCAAATAAGTTTAACTAATATATCGCGTTTTAAACCGTTTAAGTGTTTTATTTAAATGTGTACTACTCGCGTAAACTATAGACAGTATTTAACATTTTAACTGTTCAAAACGTGGCCGTGGTCACGGGGAGACAAGTCAACCCGTGACTACTGCTGCTGCAAACCATCCGAAGCGTCGGGTCGTAGTTAAAAATAATTTTCAAACAAGTTTAATTAATATATATCGCGTTGACGTGTCTCCCCGTGACCACGGCTGCTGCAAACCATCCGAAACGTCGGGCCGCAGTTAAAAATAATTTTCAAACAAGTTTAATTAAAATATATCGCGTTTTAAACCGTAAACTACAGACAGTATTTAATAATATAAATACGTAGGTAATTGCAAGCAAGTGATTGAAGCGGTTGGGTTAAAATAAAATAAATAGTTTTAACATAGCTATTAAATTTTATGTTTCTATGTTTATTATGAGATATTTATTTTACATACGGAATAATTTATTACGGAGGTAACGATAAGCAGTAGAATTATTGACGTCGTTATAATTGCATGTGTTATTTATGTGAAGTTTCTTTAACAATAATTAAACAAGATGCAAAGTGTGGCAAACATTCTTATTTATATATTTTTGAGTTCACTTCCAATAAGATAGCTGTTAGAAAATAAATATAAGATATGAAACGTGACTATGTAACTACTGCGAAGCATCCGAAATAAGTAATTATATTTTGTTATAACAGTAGAAAAAAATATTATAAACCTAGTACATAATTACTTAAAAATAACTAAACATTTTTTACATTGTATTGTCACTTATAGTAAGGTCGTATAGCCTAAACATATTTAAAGGAAAAATAAAAAAATATAGAAAATTATTAATTAATTTTCGAAATGCAACAAAAATGAACAAATCCAGAACGCTGACTATACAAAAAAATCTATAGAATAATATCTCATAACACAATATTGGAATTAGGTATTGTAAGTTTTGGCAGAAACACTTGTCATGTACACATTTGGGCAAGAAGCAAAACAACATTTAATCCGTCAAATACAATAAATTAGGACCCAATACATACCCTTGCTGCTCCCGCCGTCCTCATTAGAGTCCTCGCTTGGGGGTCCATGTGGGGCCCGATTCGGCAGCGGATGGGGCAGCCTCGGTCTCGCCAGGAACGGCGGGGGAACTCCGAAGAACGGTAAAAAGGGGGGCCACGTCGGCCGGGGCGCGAGACCGGCCGCGGCAGCAGCGTAAAGTTGCAGCGGGGCCGGCAAGCCGCCTTCTAACACCATGCCGAATGCTTAACACCCACTGATTCGCATCGTCACACCACACCACACAACACTACAGCACACTGCGTCGCGCGGACCGAGTCTCGTCACTGACATGGCGCGCCGTGGCGAGGCGGGGCGTCCCCTCTCGGCCAATCGCCGCCCCTTTCATATTATAGATTTATTCCACGTATATCATGCTAAACAACAATACACCCTATGTCTTGCCAGTACAGATGGATATTAAACGAACGATAAATTAAGCTCGCCATACGTGAGAATAACGACTCTGTAATGCGAACGTCTACAATGTAAATTTAACTCTATTACAATGAGTTAAGGTTGTTTTTTATTTGCTATATATTATATTGGTGTACGGGGCGAAGTCGTAATCTTTTTTAGCCGCATGTCGCTACAAAAACACGTACATAATCAACAATATGTTATAGATTGTTTCTAATATTTTCTGTTCTGATACATTTGTTAGTTATCGTATTCCATGTTTTTGATAGTAAGTTATAGCTTAGCGAGATAACTAATAATGCTAAGACGATATTTTATTTTATCAACTTTGTAGTGTGTATCTAGAGTATTTTAATAGATTAGATGCTGTTGGTATACAAAAATATTTTCATTAACGAAGTGAACGATTATTTCACGTCTTATGTTTTCATAAAACATTCTTTTGTTATCAATGTGTTGAATAACGCCCAGTCGACGCAGAATACAATTTGAAACTAATTACGAGCTCGCCTCGAAGTTATTATTAAGTACAATAGGTGTTTCGTAAAACTAGATTGCGGATCTAATGACCGGACGAACTATCAATCATACAAAATTAACACGTTACAGATTGTCTGACATTGATGAATCATAAACGAAAGGCAATCAATTTCACAATCCCTTATTCCATTAAACAAAAAAGCAATAACCTAATTGACATAAATAATAATAAAATATGTCAAGACGCTGCCCGTGGCCGGAGCGATATGACAGCTATATCGGAGATCTCGTGAGCGAGTCGCGCCGCCCTCCCCGGTCTTTGTGTCGAAGCCGCTTCGGGCTGCAATTGGTGGAAGGCTGGAAGTGGGGATGGAGGGCGGGGCGCAGCAAGGGTGTTCGGAAAGCTTAGTGTTGCATGAATTTAATTAGAGTGAGGAGCACCTCGGGCGCATTAGGAGCTGCGATGGGCGAAGCAATAAAAGATATAAAGGAATGAGTATAAATTAAAAGTTAAATAGAGGATGTGGTGAGTGGGAGAGGGAGGGGGTGAGGGAAGTGAGTCCGTCCCGCTCTCGCGTGGATGAACCGTAATTGTTTGACGACCTTATTAGTATCAGTTAATGTCGTTCTCTCTTTTTCTCCGGCGAATTTAATTAGTTTTTAATTAGGGACGGCTTAATGAGTCTTCCAGGATAGGTATTTTTGCTCGCACTTCGCTTTCGGAATATTGTTTGCATAATTGCTGGATTTGATTGCGTTTAGGCGGGTTCGGGTTGGGTTATATTTCATTAGTCATTACTATAAATTAAACATTTATTTAAGCTGAAAAATTTGATGATAGCTGTAGCTGCCGGTTCGATTCCCGGCCAAAAGCGATTGAGCCGTGTCGTTAGTTAGATCATCAGCACGTAGCGCTATGTATGCCAGTTCATGTCCCGCTGATAAGGTTTTTGAATCTAAATAGATTTTTAATTTATGTAATACACTTGATACATTGTTTTCAAATATTAAAAACCATTAAATTTTTCTTTTTTTTTTCTTTTAGGATATGGGTATGTCTCATAAAAAAAATGTTGAGTTTTCCATTCTATCGCTAAGACTTTAGTTGCCATATACCTATATATGTACCAATATTGAGTACCCAGGCACATACTTACTGTATATAATTTACGCGAGTAGGAGGTACATATTTAAATAAAACACTTTAACGGTTTAAAACGCGATATATTAGTTAAACTTATTTGAAAATTATTTTTAGCTTCGGCCCGACGTTTCGGATGTATTACAACAGCCGTTTTAAACCGTTAAAGTGTTTTATTTAAATACCCAGACACATTTTTTTTTATACCAAAACGAAAATTTCCTTATTAATTTTGTTGTGTAGGTTCATTAACCTACTGCGATATTAACAAAAAATAAACTGTATGTTTATCTACAACACAACGATCTTTTTCTGCCTGTAGGCATTATAAACTTTTTGTATCTAAATTATTGGAATTTTAACCTTTTCTATTATTTCATGTGGTATCTGTGGTCCTCTGCAATATTTTATAGGTACATAGATACTCTACATTATTGCTCTTTTTATTTAAGATATACTACAACAGATGGCGCTGGAGTAGCAGACTTGACTTTGACATTAGGGACACGTCCGGCCGTAGTGAAAATAACTTAACCTCTACATTTTCGCATTGAAACGGTTAAAAGTGTTTTTTTAAGGCTGTATTTCGTAATCGTATTATCTGTACAATACTTCATTAATGCTTTTTATCGCAGGAGAATCGAAATCTTTCATAAAAATATATATTTTTCAATGCATAAAGCAGGCGTCCATAAAACGACGTTCAATAAAATCAAATAGAAAATAATACGCGGACATAACTTCCATAATAAACTGAAACGATCTGAAGCACATGCGCTGCAGAACATCTATCTTCAATTCAGTTTAGATACCACTGTCTGTCTCATTCTGCCATGTTGAGAATCGTATATCTATCTCTCTCTGGCATATTAGGCTGGCTACTCACGAACCCGCCGTTAGTCCTCATTATGGCGCAGCTTACAACGCGAAAAGCGCTCATTGTAGAAGGGGGGTTTTCCTTGTGTTATTGATGCTGTATATGCTCACATACATTTGAAAATAGCTCTCTATTGTCTGTAGTTTACGCGAGTAGTGCACATTTAAATAAAACACTTTTGACGGTTTTAAACGCGAAATATATAGCATAAACTTTTATATTTATTCTAAAACTGCTTTGCGTAATTATCGCGAGGAGTGCCGACACAGATTATGTTTGAAGTCCTGCATTTTTATATGTATTTAGATAATATGTTACATTCCAAAATTCAAATAAAACAATTTTAACGGTGTAAAACGCTAAACGTTTTAGTTAAACTTTTATATTTATTATAACTACGACCGACATTTTCGATGCTTTACAGCATTCGTGGACAAGCATAACTAATAAGTATATTTTGCGTTTTAAATCGTTAAAAGTGTTTTATTTGAATTTTAGAATGTAACGTATTATCTACGTTGATATAAAAATGCAGGATTTCAAACATAATCTGTGTCGGCTTAAAACGCGTTTAAAATATGGATCTTATTTGTCTGTGGCAAAGAAAGAAACAGTACCTACAACTACCTACATTAACAAAACATAATTTTCTTCGTTTCTTGTGATTACTTTATGCTCTTTATTACAAACCTCGCTACTGACACTGATCCCCACGTCCTTGTTTTGAATACTGGAAAATTTCAGTCCCAACGAAAGATGGTTGGCAACATCAAAGAAACTACTTCCTATGTATACTCTGTGGTAAAGGGAAGGGAACTAAAATATTTTGCATTTTCAGTGTTATTAGTAGGCAAAACGGACACTGAATTGTGTCGCCCCATGCCCCAAACGGGATCACATCTTATCACACCATCAACTTCAATCCTTTGAAACGAATCGGAGCGTAGTGAATGTTTATTTTTTATTGATAAGCCAAGATGGATGACTGGCACGCGCGAATACAATTGATTTAAAATTAAAATGGCAACTGTATGATTGATGTGACGGTGTGACGTCACGCCCGAACTTCCTGGGAGAGAGGGGTTGACTAAACGATTTTTGTTAAGCGATTCAAGATCGATTAAAACGCGAGAAGAATTGGGAAAGGGGTTATTCCTAACGTAGACTTATCAATAGTTTTGTATTAAAAGTTTATAGAGAAAGTGTTTTTTTTAGTTATAGTCATTTAGGTATTATTATTTAACACCTCTGAAATATAGTGAGTATATGTGATAGCACAATATGTTAATGTAAACTTGAACTTTGCGAATTATTCAAGTTCCCGCCCTTAGTATGCATACAGCCACTCAAGTTACACGCTACTTAAGTGTGCTCTCAAAAAGCGGTCGGATTCATAATCTTGTTAGCACTCAAATTTGCATTAATTAAGCCGAGGCCTCCGTCTAAACTCGTGGAGGGAGTTAGATAATATTCAAATGGTACATATAACGACGACACCACGTCGCTCCAGAGCAATATAGATCGTACAGACGGCGAGAGAAGTGCTTTTGAGAGAATTATACATTTATTCGCATGACAAAAATTCAATACTAAATCATTAAGGCGTATAATTGCGATGATATTATTTCATTAATATGTTGATCCTAAAAATATGGGGGCCTATGTCTGTTGAAGTGACCGAGTTCATCTACAGGCAAGTATTTACTGTAGTTTACGCGTTTACACTTAAATAAAACACTTTCAACTTTATAAAACGCGAAATGTATTAGTTAAACTTATTTACAAACTTATTTTAACTAGAGCCCGACGTTTCGTATTCTTCGAGTTTAAACAATTAAAGTTGTCGTGTTTGAAGACAATTACTTGTTTCTGTGCCAACACAATAAATGTGTTCTTCTTGGGAAGGTCAGAATTGTGATTCTTATTAACGTTTTGATGGAAATACATTCAAATTCAACATAAAATAATACATAAATGGTTTACAATTATCACATCCACGCAACTTTGCTATGGAAGGACATCACTAAGCTGATGCTGCAACAACCGATTTGTTGCAGCTGATTTCCAGTTATGCTCATGAATTATACTTAGGTGATATTTTAGATATTCAACAATCCACTTCTCGTAGCGACTGTACATCACGGAGAGCTTCGAGGGTACGCTCGACAATTTCCTCCTCGAGTAATTCACTAGGATTTAATTTAAATTAGTTTTGGCTTGGCTTAATAGCTTCCCCCCCGTGGGTGGGAGGAGTGGGGGCCGTGGCTCCTTTCCAGGGGC